GTCTCTAAAATTCTAGGACTTTATTAAATGTTTATTGCAAATAACAATGCAAATCATATAACAGGTCTTTGAATACATAAGAATAAACACATAGCATCGAAACATGGCCCAAGCTGTCAAGGAGTTTACTGATATTTAAATGGGCTTCTAATTTCCAGAAGGCACAAAATTCTTGATGAGAATGATTTCATTAGATAGATTTTAAAAATCTGAAAATTCTGAGTTGACCTCTTTTAGGTCCTTTTCATAGGTTGTTCTGAATTTAGTACTCTGTTGGTCTTTAATTCTCTGGGTATAAGATTTCAAATGCAAGATGGCACAGGGGTGGGAGCGTGGCTTTTGGTGTCAGTGAGACCTGGGTTTGAACCTCACCTTTTCCTGGACAAGAGAAAGCACCTGTCTCAGATTCGTTTTATAATCTTTTAGAGTCATTTTTACACTCTTTTAATAAAGAAAAAGGTAAAACCAATCCTCTCTTTGAACCCAATTCTATTCCCCAGAGATAAAGAGTAAGGCAATTATGTTCAAGTTTTTGATTGGAGCATCCCAGGGTTTAATTTCTGCAAGAAGTTAATAAATAAAATTCGCTAAAAACAATGTTCAGTTTCACGTCCCTACGTGTGTAGCTGCCCCTCAGCCTCTTTGGGGCGTGCCTGGGCTTTCCCCGTCTGTCCTTTTGCATGTCGTAGTTATTCTTCCCCACCTCTCCTCACAATCATTCAAAGGACAGATTCAGATGAAATTCTTCCTTGGGTACTGTCTGGGTAGCCCGTGATTCGTCTGCCATGCTCTGAATGTACTCTCCTTCTTTGCTTCCTGTAAGGCTGCAAGTCACGTGAAGGGTCTTTGTTTCATGAAAGTTTGTCACTACATATAGTACCTAACACTGTCCCTTCCACATATTAGCTACTCAACAGATGCTTGCTTAGTTAATAAATGTAGTTTAAAATTGGGCAAAATGTTTGAAAACACTGGAAAACAGCTGGTTTTATTTTGATTCCAAAGATGTAAAATTCTAAGCCATATTTCTAAAATAAAAGCATTATTGGGCTTCCCTGGTGGCGCAGTGGTTGAGAGTCCGCCTGCCGATGCAGGGGACGCGGGTTCGTGCCCCGGTCCGGGAAGATCCCACATGCCGCGGAGCGGCTGGGCCCGTGAGCCGTGGCCGCTGAGCCTGCGCGTCCGGAGCCTGTGCTCCGCAACGGGAGAGGCCGCAGCGGTGAGAGGCCCGCGTACCGCAAAAAAAAAAAACAAACAAAAAACACATTATTAATTCTGGGAAAATGCTCTATTAGTCTTGAGCCATATACAGTTTTTCAGGAGGCCTCTCACGAGTCATCTCTGACAGAGGATGTCAACACAGGGGAGAGAAGGAAAGAGAGAAACTCTGCTATCACATGTATTCCTCAGAACTAGATAGCAACCTGAGCGAGCTGCCCTGCCTTGAACCCCCTCCTTCATAAACTCACAAGAACTGAAATAAAGAAGGAAACGCTGCTTATGTTTTTTCCTTTTTAAAAAGCACAAGCCTAACATAAAAGCTTCTCCATAAAGCAAGCTTAAGATCACAGTCAGCAGCAAGGCGGCCAAGCGGTGTTATCGTGTGCACAGAGAAGCAGGCACAGAAGGGCGGCCCCACAGGCACCGCGAGGGCAAGATGCACAGTCACCCTGCTGCTCTATCTCGCCCCATCTCAGTCCTTCTGCAGCCTGTACCAAGTGTGTCGTGGATGTAACAGGTCATTTTCAATCTAAATCTTGTTATACATTAATAAGCAAACACTTTCTTGCTTATTATACAATTTATCATGATGAAAATTACACTGGACTCCTTAAGGCTACACGCTGATACATTCATTTATTCAGAGCTCTGTGTAGAGAGTTATACTAATCTTCATGACAGAAAAGGATGTAATTTTAAGATTTAAATTACCTACTGAAACCTAAAGTATTGGTGTCTGTGGACATACTCCATGTAGATAAAACACAGCACATCTTTATGTCTGCTGATATAAGCTTCATGTGAACTTATTTAAACACAAAATAAAACAAAATATTAGATGGTTAGTCTAAAATAGAAACCCATTACTTCTCCCAGGCAACAAAACAAGACTGCGTACTATTGAAATTGTTTTTGATCAGATTTGAAAACAGGCTATAAAATTAGGTCAAAGTCAAATTCTGGACAATCAAAAATATTAAAGGCTTCTCAAGGTAACCAGGAGAGCTGAGGTAAAAGAAGCCACTCTGTTGACTCCTTGGAGGGTGTCCATGGCAGCTGCACCCAAGGAGAGGGTAAAAGGTTGAAAATATGTTCCAGGCTTTGCACAAAGGCCAGCTGCCTCTTACGACTGCTGCCAACTCATGGGCTCACATTCCCTCCTAATCCTTTAAGTCAGTCGAGAACCTTCAGGCCACCTGTATCCATCCAGAAACTATCCTGATTGTCACTATGTGGAAGTGTTTATTCTAGAAACGGGCATCTCTTCCATCTGTTGAACACTAGGACAATGACAATGGCATCACCATCCATACCCCCCCCCCCAATATAGGGAACATCCATTCAATCTCTTAACATGTGCTAAGTGCTCTTCTAAGCACCTGGCAAATATAAACTCACTTAACATCAATCTTATGAAGTAGGTCCCACCCCCCCCCCCCCAATATAGGGAACATCCATTCAATCTCTTAACATGTGCTAAGTGCTCTTCTAAGCACCTGGCAAATATAAACTCACTTAACATCAATCTTATGAAGTAGGTATTTAATTACCCCCAACTTGTAAATGGAACTGAGGTGAGAGGTGAAGTAATTTACTGAAGGGTATGTGGCTAGGGAGACACAGAGGTGAAGTTTAGGAAGTGTGGCAGCATGAAGCAGGTGAACGGGGAGGACAGCTGCTTAGGTTTGAAATGAATACCCTTCCCCTACCAGTCAATCTTGGGACTTTGGGCTGGGGATGCCCAATCTGTGGACAAAGTCACAGCAGTCCAGTCTAGCCTTCAGTTGGTTCGCTGGTCTCCACTTCTGAGCATAGAGCAGCCAGCAGAAAGATGACAGGCCCAAAGCACGCTAGAATATAAGGCAACTGCGGGATATGAGAGAGGCAACCATGAAGAAAAGGGCAGAGAACTCTAGTTTTTTAAAAGGTTAGCAATGATAAGCATGAAATGCCATTCACTGAAAAAATCAAAGAGGTGATAACACTTACAGGCAGACCTCAAAGATACTGTAGGTTTGGTTCCAGAGCAATGCAATAAAGCGAGTATCACAATAAAGCAATGCACACGAATTTTTTAGCTTCCCAGTAAACATATAAAAAGTATGTTTATACTATACTGTAGTCTATTAAGTGTGCAATATCATTAAGTATTTTTACAATGTACATACCTTAATTAAAAAATACTTTATTGCTAAAAAAGTCACAATAATTACAAAAATAACATCAAAGATCACTGACTACAGACAACCATAACAAATATAGTAATAAAAATGTTTGAAATATTGCTAGAATTACAAAAATGAGACACAGAGTCATGAATGAGCAAATGCTGTTGGAAAAATGGTGCCAACAGACTTGCTCAATGCAGGGTTACCATAAACCTTTGGTTTGTAAAAAAAAAAACCCACAGCATCCGTGAAATGCAATAAAGTGAAGGACAGTAAAATGAGGTCTGCCTGTACATTAAGAGAGGCATCATGGGACAGTTCAAGAATTCCTCCCACTAGGAATTCACCCTCACTAGGATGACTATACTAAAAAAGCAACAACAAAACCAGAAGATAAGTGTTGGCGAGGATGCAAAGACAATTCCTACATTGCTGGTAGGAATATAAAATGGTGCAGCTGCTATGGAAAACAGTTTGGTGGTTCCTCAGTAGGCTAAACACAGAATTACCACATGACCCAGCAATTCCACTTTTAGGTATCTACCTAAGAGATGAAAACTAGGTGTTCAAACAAAGTGGAAACAACCCACATGTCCATCAACAGATGAATAGGTAAATAAAATGAATGGAATATTGTTCAACTATAAAGAGAAACAAAGTACTGAAAAATGCTGCAACATGAATGAACCTTGGAATCATTATGCTAAGTGAAAGAAGTCAGACACAAAAGGCCACATACTGTATAATTCCATTTACATGAAATATTCAGAATAGGCAAATTCACAGAGACAGAAAGCAGATTATTGATTGTCAGGGGACAGTGGGAGGGGAGAATGGAAAGGGACTGCTCAATGGGTATGGAGTTTGCATTTGGGGTGACTGCTACTGGGAACTAGGTAGTGGTGATGGCTGCATAACTGTGAATGCAGAGAATGTTGCTGAATTGTATCCTTTAAGAGGGTTACAGTAGTAAATTTCCTGTTAGATGTGTATTATACCATCAAAACAAAACAAAACAAAACAAAACAAAGAAGACTCCCTCCAGGAATCAGGAGGCTGGGTTCTCAAGTCAACACTAACCTCTATCACCAGCCCCAGTTTCATTTTAGGAACTGCCTTGGGTCTTCTTATTCCTCTACTCTCATCCCTGCCTCCCTGGACCACTGCAACCTCCTTATGGCTGATCCTCTGCTGTGTGCAAATGAAACCTCAATAAAGTTGGTTTAAAAATTAACATGAGTGCAAAGGAGTAATTCCCCAAACTGGCCAGGTATCGTATCAGTAAAACATTTTTGAGCAACTATATATATCATTTTCCTTATATGTGATATGTTTATATTATTATTAGCTGATAATATCTCAAGGCACAATAAACATATATTTAAAACTATGCCACGGATAAATCATTCATTGGCTCAAAGCTAAATCCCAATTGTGGTAAAATGACAGAAACATATCTCCCTTTCATCGTCTATTTCCAAAATTTCATATATTGAGATATTTGTCTATTTTTTCTCCATATGCAATTTATAAAGAGTGATCAATGACTTCTACTAAAACAAAACAAAACAAAACCAATAAAAGCCAAATGAACTGAAATGGAGCGTGTACTTGGCAAGTTGTTTCTCGGCATCAGCACAAAGTTCAAGAAGCCCCATCAGGACAGCAGACACATCCATGTAAGGCTCCCAAACTGTGAAACCACGTCCGATCAGATCAATGGCTGTTCTTCGGATCGTACTGTGTGGAGGAAGTTTGGGGCTTGGTGGCTGCAGCAGAAGAAACGTCAGTGCCTTACCTAAAATTACAAAATACAAAGCAGAGCAATAAAGTAATTTTACTTTTGTGATGTCTTCTTTGAAGCATATTTTCAAAATATAAACCACTTTGGATTTACTTTAACTGACAAGAGGTTTTGAATAGTAAGACTATAAAAAGATCTGAAGTTTACAGTTTGTTTAGCCATGTACTTTAAAGAGACAAGTTAGGCTACAATATTCTATACCATACTCTAAAGTGTTGTAATTACCTAATAACTATATTTAAATAAGTATTTATAATTTCAAAACATAATAGTGATTCTAAACTTCCAAACAATGTTTCTCCCTACTCAGCATTCTGCAAAATGAAGAGGCTTCCAAATAATGTAAGATGGTATTTCTTCATCTTTCTTCTGCATCTAACAGAATTCATACGCGAAATGCTTCATCAATAACACTTCTCATCACAGGCAATGATTATCAACAGGGATGAGGGATGGAGAAGGTAGAATGTGTAGTTTTCAAAAGTCTCCACTCCACACCGCCACTGCCCCAGACAAGCATATTTGTTCCTCCACATTCTGGTGTACCAATAGCAGACAATGACGTCAAGTACGTGGCAAATTCTTCACATAAGTTTGTTACGCAATTTTAAAAATAGCTCAATATTACTTCTAAATCTGATGAAATGATCTAGATTTTAATTAATATGTATTCCTTTATGTTGAAGCTCAAGCTAACCATTTGTATACTTAAGCCAATGGTCATTAAGCTACAAAAGCTCATCTACTTCCAAAGGCATTTTGACATTAAAAAAACACAAAACACCAGGGATTGTCAAGAACAAACTGCAACTTAGAAGAGGGTTTTTTGTTTGTTTGTTTTTTGAGGGGAAGAAACAAAACAGTTTATAAATCATATCACTGTATAACATACTAGTTAAAGGGAACAGAGGCTTCAGATTCAAGACAGAGTATTAACTGATTTTATAACTTACTAGGGGGCAGGCTTAGGAAGACACTCAGTGAGCCTCAGCTTCCTTGTCTGTAAAATGGGGATAATAATAGCTATCACTCATGAAGGGCCAGAGTGTTAAATGAATTAAACAATGAAGTGTACTGCCAAGTGCCCTCACTGGTGTGTGTTCAGTGAAGGGCAGTCAGGGCTCATTCTGAATAACATGTTGAACTTGTCTGTTTTTAAAATTAAGAACATGGCATGTAAGCTTTAATTTAATTCACTCAACAAATAAAAGCATTTACTCATTGGCTATGCTATAGCCAACTGTTAAATGAGAATGGATTGAAATGGAGGTGAAGAGAAAGATATTGTAAAGCTGAGACAAGTCTGTGAACGCACTGTCTATACAGTGGTTCTGAATTTCTTCTCAGTCACAGAATCCTTAAAGATTCTAATAGAATGTTTTTAAAAGGTAAAAAAAAATAAAAAGAATCTGTTGAAAGCCACCAGTCCTTTCCTCAGGAAACTATATACACATACATATCCACCAAATTCTGCAGAAAGATTTCAAGGAGGCCACGGACCTTGGGTTAACAACTCCTGCCGTAAACGAAAAAGGTACACAGGTATGGAAAGCCTCCTTGAGAAAAACATGAAGAAATTCATACTTCATTCATACATGTATTTGAAAACTTTACTCTCATACTTAGCTATGTAAATATAATATGTAAAGCTCCCAGTTTTGTGGATCATAAAAATGTAAACCCCTTGAAAGAAAGAGATCCAATGCTCTATTTTCTGCCAGTACCTACGTGTCTCATCACAAGTTATCATTAAATATAAGCATTTTGGTGCATTTCCCTTCTCCTCAGCAACTCTGTTAGCTCCTTGAGGGTAGGAAGTATGTTTCATATAACTCTGCATCTCCCAAACCATCAAGCACTATGCTTTGCACACATTATGGACCTAAAATGGATGACAGACCTGCCTTTACTGCACGTACACTTCTAACGCAGCTCCTGGCCCCAGTTTGCCAGAATGATATTTCAAACTGTCAAGAATATCTACCACTTTCTTGTTATTCTTGACATCTAGGAAGTTGTATGACTCCATATAATATAGGTGCTCTGCAATATGGGCCAAGGTGATGAAAAAGCTAAAATTAAGACAATGATAGCACTTCTCTATTAACAGAAAAAAAATCTCGCGATGGAATTTTATGAATTTTAAGTTTTATCTCTCAGAACTTTTCTTAAACTTTAGGTACCCAATAAAGGTTGCATTTTAATCTCTTCAAGATGGAATCTAATTTTGTACAAAGGCACATACTTACTTATTTTGTGTAAGTGCCCCACTACTGCACAATTGGGGAATATTGCCTCACTGAGTAACCAAGGTGGAGAACGATGCTACCACCTGCCATCATGATTGAGTCCTTGGTAAAAGACTCTCCTGGTGGCAGTATTAAGAAGTTCAACAAATTGGCCTAATGTTCACTCAAGACTATCCACAATTTGGTCCCAAACTTTCCATCCAAAGATTCATTGAGGAACTGTCTATAGAGTATTGTTATATTGATATTATACTAAATGCTGGGGAAACACAAGTGAACAATACTCAGTTCTTTCCCTCAGGAAAATTCACTGTAGCTCAGGATATAGGTGAGCAAACAGGTAATTTGAATATATTATGAGGAATGTTAGAACATTTATAAGCACAAAGTATCAAGATAGAACCTAAAAGGGGCGCTTAACCCAATCTTAGGGATATAAGAAGGCTTCCAGGAAAAGGTGGCCTCTATACAAAAACCTAAAGACTAAGTAAAACTTTGTCACTCACAGGAGAGGAGTATGGAAAGAAAACATTCTAGGCAGAGAGAATAGCATGTCTAAAGACCATCAGATGAGAGAGAACACGACCAGACCAACGGATTACACATAGTTCAATGTGGCTGGAAAGTTCATCGGTGGAAAGAGAAGAGGCTGGGGCGATCGACAAGAGGGAAGAGGACAAGGTGGATGCAATATAACAGTGAGACACGCGACAGCACAGGTTATTAGAGCCTGATCACAAAGGGCCTTATACGCCATGCTAAGAGTTTGTTCATTCTGGTGACAACGGGGAAAAATTGGAAAGTTTTAAGCAAATGAGGGGTTTGATTAGATTTTCATTTTAGAAAGATCAACATTTAGGCTGTCATGATTAGAAAGGGGCAAGACCAACGGGACCTTCAAGGTGGAGGAGTTAAGATGTGTAGATCACCTTCCTTCCCACAAATACATCAGAAATACATCTACACGTGGAACAACTCCTACAGAACACCTACTGGACGCTGGCAGAAGACCTCAGACCTCCCAAAAGGCAAGAAACTGCCCACGTACCTGGGTAGGGGCAAAAGAAAAAAGAAAAAACAGAGAGAAAAGAATAGGGACGGGACCTGCACCTCTGGGACGGAGCTGTGAAGGAGCAAAACTTTCTACACACTAGGAAGCCCCTTCACTGGCGGAGACGGGCAGTGGGCGGCGGGGGGTGGGGAGCTTCGGAGTCACGGGGGAGAGCGCAGCCACAGGGGTGCGGAGGGCAGAGCGGGGAGATTCCCGCACAGAGGATCGGGGCCGACCGGCACTCACCAGCCCGAGAGGCTTGTCTGCTCACCCGCCGGGGCGGGTGGAGGCCGGGAGCTGAGGCTCGGGCTTTGGAGGTTGGATCCCGGGGAGAGGACTGGGGTTGGCTGCGTGAACACAGCCTGAAGGGGGCTAGTGCACCACAGCTAGCCGGGAGGGAGTCCGGGAAAAGGTCTGGACCTGCCAAAGAGGCAAGAAACCATTGTTTCAGGGTGCGCAAGAGGGGGGATTCAGAGCACCGCCTAAATGAGTTCCAGAGACGGGCGCGAGCTGCGGCTACCAGCGCAGACCCCAGAGACGGGCATGAAACGCTAAGGCTGCTGCTGCAGCCACCAAGAAGCCTGTGTGCAAGCACTATCCACACCTCCCCTCCCGGGAGGCTGTGCAGCCTGCCACTGCCAGGGTCCCATGAGCCAGGGACAACATCCCCGGGAGAACACACGGCGCACCTCGGGCTGTTGCAACTTTTTGCTGGCTGCTGCCGCCGCAGGCTCACCCCGCATTCCATACACCTTCCGCCCCCCGCCCTCCCAACCACGGCCTGAGTGAGCCACAGCCCACTAATAAGCTGCCACTCTAACCGCATCCTGTCTGGGAGGGGAACAGATGCCAGAGGGTGACCTACATACAGATGTGAGGCCAAACCCAAAGCTGAACCCCAGGAGCTGTGCAAACAAGGAAGAGAAAGGGAAATCTCTCCCAGCAGGATCAGGAGCAGTGTATTAAATCTCCACAATCAACTTGATGTACCCTGCACCTGTGGAATACCTGAATAGACAATAAGTCATCCCCAAATTGTGGCAGTAGACTTTGGGAGCAATTGTAGGCTTGGGGTTTGCTGTGACTGATTTGTTTCTGATTTTTATGTTTATCTTAGTTTAATCTTTAGCACTTGTTATCATTGGTGGATTTGTTTATTGGTTTGGTTGCTCTCTTCTTTTTTTACAATTATTATTATTTTTCATTTTAATAATTTTTATATTAAAAACTTAAAAAAACTTTATTATTATTCTTTTTCTTTCCTTTTTCCTTGCTTTTCTTCTGAGTTGTGTGGTTGACAGGATCTTGGTGCTCAGGCCTGAGACTCTGAGATGGGAAAGTCGAGTTCAGAACATTGGACCAACAGAGACCTCCCAGTCCCACGTAATATCAATTGGTGAGAGCTCTCCCAGAGATCTCTGTCTCAAAGTTAAGACCCAGCTCCACCCAACGGCCAGCAAAATCCAGTGCCAGATGCCCCATGCCAAACAACTAGCAAGAGAGAAACACAACCCCACCCATTAGCAGACAGGCTGCCTAAAATCATACAAGGTTCACAGACATCCCCAAACACACCACCAGATGTGGCCCTGACCATCAGAAAAAAAAGATCCAGCCCCACCGACCAGAACACAGGAACCAGTCCCCTCCATCAGGAAGCCTGCACAAGCCACTGAAACAACCTCACCCACTGG